ACTGCCTAGAGCAAGCAAAGCCAAGAGCAATCTTGGATTCCTTCTGAGTTCTCAAACAGTTACATGGAGAAAAAGTTAAATGTTATTTATTTTCCCAAAATGGACTGCAGGAGTTTGTCTTGGCTGTCTACATGACAGTGTCATGCTCAGAATGAAGACACTGAGGCCAGACCACGGGGTTCAAATTCCACCCCACACAGGCTCCATGTCCTCTGCATCCTCATTTGAAAGATACAGACACCGACAACCATGACTATTGCGTAGCAGTGACTGATTAATGAGTTAACACATGGTAAGCACATGTCTGTAATCCCAGCTCTCCTATATAAGATGCAAAGCGGAGACAGGAGAATCCCCGGGAACTTGCAGGATAGCTACTCTTGTATTTACAGCAGTGAACAACGAAGAAACTCTGCTTCAGACACGGTTGCCCTCTGATCTCCACACATGCACCATGGGGTGCGGGCACATGCACACATACAACACACACATACAGAAAGAGAGAGAATGAGAGAGAGAGAAAATTTAACAAACCTAGCAAAGCAATTTGTGGATGAAGACAAACCGAGAGTGAGGGAAGAGATCCTTGTGGGGGTTTGGGAGGAGAGAACTGACAGAGAAGAGCATCCAAGCTCTCCCAGTAGCCTAATCTGTCCCCTCTTTGTGCACCAAGGGCATTGAGGAAAGCCATGTGCACGCCATGAGGCACTCCACAAATGACTTAGCTGCCATCTTATAAATGAGGTCAAAACCGTGACACTGGTGAGACCCTCACCCTAACAATGTCCCAAGGAATCCTAGACTTTTAAATTTTACTTGCTTGTCTTTTTGTTTGATTGATGTGTATGTAAGTCTGTGTACCATGTGAATGCCTGGTGCCCACAGAGGCCAGCATGAACTGTCCTTCATCACAGAGGCAGTGTCCCCTGGACTTCTCCAGATGACACGTGATGTATGTGCTGCATTCACAACCATCACACTGGTTAGCAGACGATAGAACAGCATTCAGTACAAAAAAAAATATTTCCTCAAATATTCTTGGTCTGAGACTATTTGAGCCTGTGGCCTATGCATGGTACTGCTCAGTCGTAATATTTTCACAATCTCCTGGGGAGTTCTTCTGCTTGGATTCTTGCTGCTTTGTAGGAAATGAGAGAAAATGAGACCACAGAAAGGTGAGGAATTTTGCCAGTGCTTCACCAGAACCCTGCATGGCCCTAAGTGTTTTGAGTGAGTTGGGTAGAAGGATCTGATTATTCCTTTTGGAGGGGAAAATCTAAGCGAGTGCTTGTACAGCAGCATAGAGAAGCCTCAAGCAGCTTGCCCCTTGGTTACAGGTCCCTGACTGCTGCCTGTGGAGCTTGTGGGCAGGCACAGGGCATATCAGCATGCAGGGCTTGGATAGGGCCTGAAGTAACAACTGTTGCTGAACTCTGAGAGTCTCCTAAAGGATAGGCCTTAATCCCTCTGGCCTTTGTCTCTTGAGGCTGTGGTGTCGAAGCAGAGTGGAGGCTGTGAGCTGCCAGGCTGGCATTTAGAACTGAGAATCTAGAGAGCCTCCTACTTCCCTGCAGGCGTGAGGCTGGCCTGGCACAGAGGTGCAGGGCTCAGAGCCCTGGAAGCTCTCAGTAGTTATCATAAAGGGAAGCTCTAGAAAGCCGGTCTCCTCAGGTCTGGGGGGCCATCACAGCACCCCTACTTCTAACCCTGGCCAGGGTCACCGGGCTGTGCCTGTGGTGCAGAAACTCATCTGCAAGGTAACTTAAAGGTCTACCTTGCCCTTCCCTGGTAGGCTGAGGTGGGGGAACCATCACATCTGTAATACACAGGGGACATTTCTTCTCTTAACAGATCTAACACTTCCTCTGGTGTCACTGAGCAGAGGCCACGTCCAAATGGTAAGATTACCTGAGCTGCCAAATGGTGGGATTATCTGGTTATCTGCTACCAAATCCAGATACATAAACATACCCAGAGACCTTGAGTGTGCACTGCACCATGATTTCAGGGTTGTCCTGTTATTTTCAATATTTAGGACAGCTCAGACTTAACTTTTCAAAATGTATACAAAATTATTGTACCCATAGTAAAAGCTTCTTTGGAAATTATAGAGAAGTATAAAAAAGTCATTTTTTTCCTGTGATCCTAGAACTTGGTGGAGAACTTTTGGACTCTGGGGATTTTCTTCTTTTTTGGTCATTTTACTTCAGGCATTTCTTCAAATCCTTTGTGTTGTCTGTTGGGAGTTGGGAAGTGAGGTAGAGGTATTATGATAAAATTTTGCATCAGTAATCTCTCTCGAAGTTACTGCTTGGTTTATGAAAACTTAGCCCAGAAATTGAAAATTACTATTGTGCTCAGGCTTTCCCTCCAGCTAGATAAACCTCGGAACAGTTCCGGCTGAAATGCTGTGTGCACAGTTTCTGAGGCCATGTAATGATTAGATATAGCCATTAAACCACACTGGACAAAACACACGCACACAAAGTCACGTTGTTCCCATGTTCTTGTTGATGGCAGGTTTTCCTGTGGCAATACTCCCTACTTCTGTACCAGAGGCCTCCCTCAGTTCCCCACTCTCCCGTGTGTCAGCACCCACCCAGTGGCCCTGCCACACTAATCCAGAGTCATGGTGGGAATGGACAAGGGTCCCCTCAGCTGCAGCTGCCCTGGCAAGGGGCTCTGTGGGAAAGGCCTATTCTGTTGCAGGATCTTTGGTCTAAAAAGCACACTAAAACACAGACTCTCACTTTGATTCCCTACACTTCGGCCATTTTCAAATGTCACCTCCACATGAACAGCTCCATGAAAAGCATACCACGGCTGTGATGCCGTTCTTTGTGCTTCGGATTCAAGGCAGAGGTAAGAAAAGGTAAAATGGAAGAGAGAAAAACCAATGTCTCTGACAGACAGGGTCAGGTGGTTGTGGGAGGAGGAAGACTAGAGACCTGTTAGAAGGTGGGGCTGAGGAGCACAGCTCAACCCCCAGCTGCCAAATTCTGATGGGAAAACTAATGCCACCAGCCAGGGAGGGTGAACATTTGCCTGGCATTTAATGGAGCATTCCCGTGTTCAAAAGCATCAGTACGGTGCCACTCTCTGCATTTGAGACATCTCGTTATTTCCTTCGCGTATTGAAGTAGCTGGCAAAAACTAGACCTTTGCACAAGCAATTAGGAATCAAAAGCAACACGCACACTTGTCCTGGCGTTAGGCAAATAGCTGGTGGGCCCATACCTGGGGTCACCTCATGCGTTCTTTCTGTGGGAGACAACTTAGTTGTTTTTATTTTACCCAACAACCACCTTTGTTTCTCTGTCTGTAAAACTGCAACCTTGGTCTCTGTCACTGTAGGACAGTGGACAAGGGTGGCCACGCTTCTGTGATTTTGTTCCTGTCTGACAGGAAGGCTGGGAAAACCGCATTTTCTTTGTCAGGATCTATAGACTCAGTAAATGAATGAATGGTCCTCTCTGTAAAACAGTGCTGTGTGCTCACTGCAAAGCAGCAATCGAATGTAATGAGGAGAGAAGGAAACAGCACAGCCTTTAGCACACAGCAGGACCCAGTCCTCTGAGAAATGACACCTGCACTATGCATAGACAGAACACACCCTTCAAGGAACCTTTATCTCCTTTGTTTCTTTCCCCAAATTACTTTTTATTGGAGCCAAAAAAAAAAAATGGTAAAGCAACAATGGTGAGGAAATTTAATTAAGCAAACAGTTGCTCGTAGGTCTTAGAAAATACAGTAACAACTTAATGTGACAACTATCATTACATCAGCCACCTTGACGACAGTAACAGGGAAGTGTCCCAATATTTCAAATCTCTGGGCACACACATTCCACAGCAGCTGAATCTTTGAGGTTAGCCTGGGGCACTGTAGTACTACAGTCTTTTAAAATAAGCGTTTACAGTCTTATCATAGAGCAAAAGTTAGGAGGAGGGAAGGATCACAGAAGCACCAGCAGAGGGAAGGCCAGAACCAACTAAGGTATAAGTCTTAAGTCCCCGCCAGCCTGCTGCATCCCACGCTGTCCAGCCTGTTCTTTGTAAGGACTGACTTGCAGTCAAGTCCCCACTGTGTGTTCTCACCCTGAACACCAGGGACTCCTGCTGGTTATACCAAGACATGTCTGAAAGCACAACCCTGGCCCTTGAGCACAGCCTGCAGGGGCTTTACTCTTCCTTTATAGTCATTCCTTTCCTTGGTTATTATTGTTGTTGTTATTATTATCATCGTTGTTATTTATTTTCTTGCTTAAAGAAAGCAAAAACACTCCAGAAAAATTAGGAGTGTTTTTGTTCAACACCTATTACATTACTATCAATTAACATCACCCAGCCAAAACCCACTACCTGGCTGGGTCCTAGTGCCCTCCTCCAATGTAGTAAGGGTTAGCTGTATGCTGGCAACCAGGCATCAGGCATTACAGACTAACATAAATGACATCTTAGAAACATTTTTATTTGCAATGTTATTAAAAGCAAGCAGCCATTTGGAAAAAAAATAGAAACTCTTTCCATCTAGAGATGCTCCTCTTCGGCCTAGCTCCCAAAATGCTGCTACTGGGACCCTGATTTACCCAAGCACAAATTCAGGAGCTGGCAGGCACCAACAGCACATAGATGTCTTAAAGGAGTATAACACATGAAGTAATAAAATAACTCCGATGACCCACAGATTCTGACTAAAAGACCCTACAATAAGGAATGTTAGCTAGGTGCTATTCTGGTTTTGGCACACAAGGCAGACCCCTACTATTCAAAGACTTCATTGCATAACCTACTGTGCTTGTATCTCCTCTAGAATGTCAAAAGTTTTCAGTTTTATACCTTAGTTTTCAAAAAGCACACCACGGTTTGCTTCCTTGGACTCCAGGCAGGGTAAGCAACCAAGGGAACTGAGAAACCCTTCACGTTGGCCATTTTTCCTAGAGCCTGCCACCTTAGCCGCGGGAAATGACTACATGAATCGTGAGTCATGAATCATCTTACCTCTGCGGACGATGATGAAGCTGGCTGCGCCTCAGCTGAGGGGGCCGTGTCACCTTTGCCCTGGGAAAGCAGAGTGGAGAAGGAGTACGGGTGAGTTTGTCAGTCCTCAGCACATGCCTTCAGTTGTCCTCACCCATGGGCACCCACCAAGACTGTCCGCCTTTTGTTTCTGAACATAAACCTCCACATGACCTAAGGAGCCTCAAGGAGTTTCTGTTGCTGGAGAGGATCTCTTAGAGAAGACACAGAGGGGAACTGGCAACTTTTGTGCAACTTTAAAAACTCTGCCAGAGGAAGTGATGAGCCTCAAAACTCAACTGAAAAACAGCAGCCGGCTTAAGCTGTGGGGGCGAGCTACGTTACTGCCTGCAGCAGGTGGGAGCAACCTCCAAGCTTGAGTCTGTGGTACCCATTGCATTGAAAATGCTCCCTGTAGCAACTGTAGCCACAAAGGTCACTATAATCCGTAAGCACACGTAGCTGAGACCCCAGCAACACTTAACCGTTGATGCTTAAACCCAAGACTGTGTTCAGGCAGGGGCCCGTCCTTTCCAGACCCCTTTTGGTCACAGTGATTTAGAGAAAGTTTGAAGACTTACTTGAGAATATGCTCTTGGGGGCTTGAGGACAGAAATCATGCCTGTCCCCATCTCTGCACATTTCGGGAACGCATCTCTCAGGTATGTGAGATCAGATCGCTCAGAGTGTAAAGACATCCACCACCAAGCCTGATGGCCTGAGTTCAATACCCGGGACCCACATGGTAGATGATGAAGACAGGCTTCCTCATCCCTCAGGTTGTCCTCTGACCTCTACACACACACTAAGGCATGTACATACACACACACACACACACACACACACACACACACACTCGTACAAATATTCTCAACTTTCTTAATTTCTGATACCTTGGCTGAATATAGATAACAGGTTGCTTGTATAAGTGTAAACCAAGGGTCTTAATGTGAAATTTAAGGAGTCCTTATTGTTAATTGATTTTTTCAATACTAATTTTTATTTGTTTTAAAATAAAATTATATCATTTCCCCTTTCCTTTTTCTCCAACCAATCCCTCTACACATGCACCATGGCAAGCAAATGTACACATATACACACTAAAAAATAAATACCATTTTTGAAAAGGGAATGTTTAGCTTCTGTTTGAGCCGGGCTTTCCCCTGCCACTCTGTCTTCTAGTCTCTATCCTCTGCCCCTTGGATCGGATTCACTACTGAATAAGAGATAAGGAAAAGCCAAAATCCAATCCTATGCCTTTGCTACTTAATAACAACTGTGGTCCAGATGCCATGGCGAGCCAGAATTGCCACCTTCACTAACGGAGTAAAGGGGCTTTGCTGCATCACTGCTGCACAGCTGCTATGGGTTGTATACATTACCATGACACAATGGGGTGTGGAGAGAGCCCTGCATCTGTTGGTTCTGCCCCTCAGATCAGCAGGTTCCCCCACAGGACCAACAGGAGGCTGGAAGTCTCACATTGGAAACCTTGGAACCACCTTGGAGCTGTAAGCACTCCCAGCCCAGATAAGGAGACCCCTGGGGGCAGATGCTGGCTACTTTCATGTGAGTGTGTGGTATGTCCACGGCTACACAGTGACGGCTGAACAGCATAGGCACTGTCTCTAGGGGTTACTCCTTTACTTGCCTCTCACCTTTTATCCTAGCTTCCACAGCGCGGGTACGTATAGAGAACAACTGTTGGAGCAAGCCAGCAGTCTCTCTCTCTGTGGCAAATGGACTTTTTCTTTCTGTGGGACATTAATTTTGTCAGATCTGGCATGATATCCCCCATCACTATCCCTTCCTCCCAGAGATTCCGAGGTCTGGGCCTGGCCTTGTCTTGTCCTGACATGTTACCTTTGCTGAGGACTCAAGGGTGGGTATGTGCTTGTTTTGAAATGCCCATCAGAGAGCGAAGTGAAGCATGGAGGGGGAGAAACCCAGGCCTCACTGACACTTTGGAATGTTTTGGTTCAAATCCAAAGGAACCACCATTGTTCAGTAATAGGCTCTGACAAATTGCTAATATTTTAAAAGCCGGTTTGATTTAGTTCCTAAAACTAACACACAGAGAGATGTAGTGATCATAAATGATACACTGATTGGCAGATGCCTCATCAAATGGAGCACGACACTGAGTTCAGACCTCACTCTGTCCATGCCCAGCCCACCAGGCAACAACCCTTCCTTGCTCATGCTCCAGGCCCCAACACATCCCTTGCACTATACATGTTCTGCTTAGCCTGAAGAGACAGAAGCTGCTAAGTTCTGCCCATTCTCTTAGGATCCTCTGCCCCTTCTCTCCCCGAAGCACTCTGCAAGAAATATTCAGGATAATCTAGAACCAAGAAGTGGCTTAGGGATCAGTGAGTCTCCCACAAGATCGCAAATGCACCATCCTTTCTAACCCCAACTCGCTTCTCCTAACTGGCCCCTCCACTAGCCTCTTAACCTGTTAATGCCTGTGTGTGCCTCCTTCCTGAGCCAGACCTGGGTGGGCCTTTGCTCCAAATACCCCCTCCTACCTTCCATCTACCCAGAGCATGTGGAGAAGACAGATCCTACCTCCCCATGGAGTCTCTGTGATGGGGCAGATAGAAAGGAGATGGGAAAATAGTCCAAAAGGATGCCTGTGTGACAAGTTTGGGCAGCACACATTTAGCTCTCATGGGGTTCCTGGTCTAGAGACCAGACTAGTCTAGTCGCCCAGGTCTTTCAACTTGGTCCTTTAAGAGAAGATGGGAATGAGGAGACCCTTGATCACTAGATGATGGAGTGGCCTGAAGCCTTTGTGCACATCTCTGCACAGCCACACTGGCAAGCAGCGGGAAGAACCAACGTGTATGCTGTTTCCTAAAAATAGGTTCTTAAAAAATATTTCTATTTCCGTGTGTGCGCGCGCATGCATATGTCATTTCATAAATGAAGTCAGCACACAGGAGTCTAGAAAAGCTCCTCCCTTCGGGTGGCAACTAGTCTAAGACTAGTTACTGCTCCCATCACAGCCGCTCACCATGCTGGTGGCCACTGTGGAAGGAGCTCTGGCCTCGCTATGCCACGCCCACCACCAGGGACATGCTGCAAGCCTGCAAGGGCCTTTGCCTCCTCCTCAGTTGCCAACCAGGGTTTATTTCCAGACACCAGACCTTGGGCAAGTCACTCCACCAGTCAGCCTCAACACCCCCATTTACATAGTCAAGGTGAAGGGAACCTGCTACACACGAGAGTGTGGGCAGAAATGAGTGCCAAGTTCCAGTGAGGATTTCTAGCCCTGCTAGAAATCACATGGTAACACGGAGGCCTCTTTCCTATTTTAAGATCACGGGGATCCCGTGAGCCTCTCTAGTCCTTCTTTGAGAACATTGGTGACCTGTTTTCATCCATCTGACCCAAGGTCCAAGGCCACACAGCTCTAAGTCTGTAAGGATGTACCCAGAGATGGACTACGTAGGAGGTGATTCAAACAAGCTAAAGGACCTGGGTATATGCTTGACCCCACCTTAAATTCTGTTTCCTGTAGAGTTAGGTCATGCAACCAACATTAAGATTCTGTCACTTTTAAAAAGTCATTTAGGAGCTGAGGAGATGGCTTAGTGGGAAGAGTCACTTATGCAAGGGCTGAGGACCTGAGTTCAAATCCCCACATAAAAGCTGGACCTGTAGCAGAAGTATCTGTAACCCCAGCATCCCTATGTGGAAATGGAGGTAGAGATCAAAATGCTGGGTGATTCTAAGGCAGCTAGCAGAGTGTTTCCACATACCAGTGAACAAGAAATAAACCCAGACCCAAACAAAGTAGGCGAGGACCAACTCCAAGATTGTCCTCTGACTTCTACACCCACACCGTGCACACAGCCTGCACCCACATACACAAACGTGCACACATAGTAAACACATCACATGCATATCACACACACACACACACACACACACACACACACACACACACACACGGGGGTGGGGGTGGGAGCTCTGAATTCCCTGATCCCTTCAGCCTTCCAATGTCTTACACGCGATTATTCACCCTTTACCACTAGATGTCAGCAGAGGCTGCAGGGAGAAGGCAAGCTTCCGGGCAACCACCAGTGAAACCCTGCAGCATCTTTATAAAAAACAAAAAGAGGGGGTTTGCAGCCAAGCACTTGAAAATTCTGGTTCCTGGAGAGCTGGAAAAGTCCTCAGGGTGGATTTGACAGTTCCACCATGCAGCCCAGCCTGGCCTAGCCACTGCAGTCCTGTGAAGAACATGCAGGCTCCTACCCGTTTCTCAGAACATCTGTGGGCACGCCGTTCTTCCATCACACCACCAGGCACTTATAGTTGGCCGTACTATGGACACCTCAGAAAGTCACAGCTACTGACCGAGAGCAGAGTGATCACAGAACCGCAGACTCTCCTACACCCGCTGTGGCATCTTCAGAAAGATGGCATGTATGCCAAGTAAGGGCAAGCCTTACCTACACAGAGGATCTGCTGAGGCAGGGGACTGAAGGTATGTGTGCTCCTGCTGTACTTTGCAACTGAGACTTTATCAGCAGCCCCAAGAACAAGCAGGAAATGGCCTCACTTCATAGCAAAGCCTGTTGGACCGGAAATACAATCCTGGGGCTACTGGGACTCCAACATTCAAAACAGTGGGTCCTATCATGGACATGTGGCTTTTACACACTTTTCTGGAGTGATGTGCAAGTTCAACAGAGATTTCTTGTAGAGTCGGAGTGCTGAAGGACTCCACATGCAGAGCATCCAGGAGCTGGCTGATGCCCTGCCTGAGGTGCCAGGAGCTCCAGAGCAGGCTCATATCCAGTCAGGATTTCCATGCTGATAATAAAGAATCTGAAGACCTGGCTGCATACAGGAGACTGCTCTGGCCTCACCCAGTACTCTTGGAAATCTGATGTCCCCAGTGGACCAAAGTCCAGAGAAAAAAAGAAAATGTGGCAATGGCTTTTCCGACACTAAAATTTCACCCAGAGCTGAGAAACTGGATGCCATACATTTCACCAATGCTCCTGGTCAAGTAAGGGGATGCCACA